CCCCCCCCCAAAAAAAAAAGAAATGTCTTTATTTTTCCTCTTTTGGGGGGAGCATTTTTCTATAATCTGCCACCTCTGGGTCTCTTTATCTTTTTTTCTTTTCCATATGTCTTTTCTCAGTTCCTTTTGGCAGATTTTTGACATTTTTAAATGACTGTAGATTTTGTGTGCTTCCTGTTTTCACTGAAAATGAGATTAAAAAAATTTTTTTTAGACCATTACTTTGTTTTATCTATCTAGGAAGAGAAGAGAAAAACTGCCTAAGAATCATTTTGAACCTTGCTTCAGTGTGCTTTCAGAAAATAGAAGGGTTATTAATCAGATACAGAGAGGATTACACACATGTATTTATAGCCTAAATGGCTTATGTCACGTTTTAACGGTATGTTACTGTGAGGGGTAGTCAGTAGACATGTGATGGAGGTGACTGTGTAGAATGCTGGGGAGATGTGTGGCTGAAGCTGGAACTGTGGTGTTTCATATGGATGCCGCCCTCCAGCCTCCTGCCTTATATATCATGGCTGAGGAGACAGATGTACACCAAAGAGTGCCATTGTTTTCTTTTTTGAGTTGACTTTTGTGCTGTTGAGAGTGACCTCTGTTTTGCGTAAGTTTCTGTTTCTTCATTACCACAGGTGTTATTTTATTGAGTGTCTTTAAGTAAGACTTGGTTGGTGTCAGGGTAAACATAAAATCTTCCTTAGTGTAGATGGGAGATTATGGTATTGCTTTTTAGTCAGCTTGTTTTAGAACAAATTCAGTTACTGGTAAATCTGCCCTTTTTTTATTTTAAGGTTAAAATGAGCTTGTTGGTGGATCTGACAAATACTTCAAGGTTCTATGACAGAAATGACATTGAAAAAGAAGGTATCAAATATATCAAACTTCAGTGTAAAGGGTAAGTTATGGATTAAGAATTCTTAAATGAAAACCTTTCACTGAAATTTATATTCTCCTCTTTAAAATATTTTTTCCATGTTATTAGACATGGGGAATGTCCTACAACTGAGAATACCGACACCTTCATTCGTCTGTGTGAACGGTTTAATGACAGAAACCCACCTGAACTTATTGGTATGTTTGTCTTTACTATTGTTGACAACTTTGTTTCACATTTGGGCGTATGTTCTCCTTTTGCAAGTGAGTTGATAGTTGCCCATGCTGGCCTCATGGTCCTCCTGCCTCCTCTTCCTAAGTGTACCATACACCATGTTTTTTTCCCTCTTTAAATAGACACCAAATAGTGTTTATTAAAGGAAGAGACTAACTTTTGTGTGTAGCTTGTTATAAGTCTTGATTGCTTCTCTCTAAGCATGCTGTTTAGGAAAACTCATAAACACTACATTTTAAAGTAATAATTTTACTTGTTTTTCTTTGTACAGTTGTATTCTTTGGAGAATTGAGAGAGAAAAACTTCTAATTAACTATTTTATGTGTTAATAAGAACCCAGCATAAAATAGATTGAAGTAGAAACATTTGCTTTGACCTGCCAAGTTTTGGACTACAGGTGTTGGCAATTATTTATTGTACTAATAATCTGAAGCTAATAATAACAATTGGCTTTAGAACCTGTTGTTGAAAATGTCCTTTTTTGGGGGGGAAGGGGCAGTTGTGGGACTTGAACTCAGTGCTTGGTCACTGTTCCTGAGCTTTTTTTTTTTGGGTCCGGTTGTGGGGCCTGAACTCTGGGCCTGGGCTGGCCGCTGTCCCTCAGCTCTTCAGCTCAAGGCTAGTGCTCTACCATTTGAGCCACAGTGCCACTTCTGGCTTTTTTTTTCTTTCTGCTTATGTGGTGCTGAGGAATTGAACCTAGGGACTCATGCATGCAAGGCAAGCGCTCTACCACTGAGCCACCTTCTCAGCCCCAATGTTCCTGAGCTTTTTTTGCTCAAGGTTAGCCCTGTATTACTTTGAGCCACAGTGCCACTTCCGGTTTTCTGGTGGAGGTAAGTGTCTCATGGACTTTCCTGCCTGGGCTGGCTTAGAATCCTGATCCTCAGATCTCAGCTTCCTGAGTAGCTGGGATTACAAGCATGAGTTACCGGTGCCCTTTTAAGCAAAAGACACTGAAAAATCATGTTTAAGGACTTCAAGGATTTAGAAATTGGTCAGCTTTTATATTTAAATTACTTTTTTAGTTTCAGAAAATAATTTTCATCAGTCTTGCCTACCTTCTTGTGGAAGTATCCTTGTTGACCAATAATATACATTTCTTATTTATTATTAAAGATGTCCTGGGTTTAAAAAATCATTGAGCTGGGCGCTGGTAGTTCACACCTATAATCCTAGCAACTCAGGAGGCTGAGATCTAAGGATCACGGTTCATAGCCAGCCTGAGCAGGAAAGTCTGTGAGACTCTTATTTCCAGTAAATCACTAGAAAACCAGAAGTGGTGCTGAGGCTCAAGTGGTAGAGCATTCGCCTTGAGCTGAAGAACTGAGGGACAGTGCCCAGGCCCAGAGTCAAGCCCCATGACCGACCAAAAAAAAAAAAAATCACTGAAAAATAACCAATCTAATTGCTAATTTATTAATGCCAGTTGACTTCAGTTTTCAGTTGATAATTGATGGTTGGTATGTGTGTGGGCTAATTCTGTAGGTTTAGGAATTTAAAGTTCTTGAAACACAGATACTTGAAGTCTTCTGTAAGGAAGGAAGAACTTTACATTCACATTCCCTTTATTTGACCCTTGGTACCAGACGTTTGTAATTGTTAGCTGTTCTGGAGAAGTACCCCTTAATTTTTTTTTTAAGTTACGGAAGTACTTAAAGCATATGAATTAGTAAGAATAGTAAAATAAAACCCTGCATTAACAAGATTTAGTAGTGATTGTTTTGTTCATTTTTTTATCTTTTCACTCATAAATGTTTCTGAGTATTAATTATTTTGTGTGTGTCTGCTGGAATCAGGGTGCTGTCCCTGAGCTTTTTGGTCAAGGCTAGCACATTCTACCACTTGAGCCACAGCTCCACTTCTGACTTTTGGTGATTAATTGGAGGTAAGAGTTGCACAGACATTTCTGCTCAGTCCAGCTTTGAATAGTGATCCTCTGAATAGTTAGGATTACAGGTATGGGCCATCAATGCCTAGCTGGTTTTGAGTATTTTAAAGGAAACTGTAGATACCATGTCATATAAATACCTCTGTATGCATTACTAGTTGATAAGGGCTTTCAGTTTTTATAATCAATGTGCTGCTTGGTATTAAACCAAACAATAGATTTTGAACTCCTTACTGTCCTAAAATCTAGTCCGTTTTTTCATTTCCTCAGTCATCAAGGCCTAGACACTGTCCCTAAGATTTTTTTTTTTTGAGGCTAGTGCTCTGCCACTTGAGCCACAGCTTTACTTACCACTTTTGGGTGATAAGAGTCTCATGGACTTTCCTGTCTGGGCTGGCTACGAATTATGATCCTCAGCTCTCAGCCTCCGAGTAGCTAGGTTTACAGGCATGAGCCACTGGTGCTTGATGGCAATAGCTTTTTAAAGTAAGTTTTGAAACCATTCAAATGTGTTTATGTAGTTTTTGTTTTGTTTTTGTTTTTTTTTTTAGGTTACACCTTTAGTCTCTCTGATTTTTTCTCTTTTATTGCCACAAATTTGTTGGAGAAATCATATCATTGTCCTGTAAAATATTTTGCATTCTAGATTCATCTCACTGTTTTCTCATGGTTTCAATTACATGTTAAGTATCTTTTATCTAAAATACTTGGGACAGAGTGTTGTAGATTTTTTTTTAATGGGGATATTGCATATTCATAATAAGATATCTTTCAACTGGGAACTAAGCCTAAATGTGAAATTTGTTTGTTTCATATAAGTAATTTTATACAGTAATTAAAAAATTTGTACATGAAACAAAGTCTCATTTCACTGTGGTATCACCTCTACATTAAAAAAATTGGAAGCATTTTAGATTTGGAATTTTTTTTTTGGGGGGGGGTCCGGTCGTGGGGCCTGAACTCTGGGCCTGGGCGCTGTCCCTCAGCTCTTCAGCTCAAGGCTAGCGCTCTACCACTTGAGCTACAACGTCACTTCCGGGTTTTTCCTTTTTTGCTTATGTGGTGCTGAGGAATCGAGCCCAGGGCCTCAGGCATGCAAGGCAAGCACTCTACCACTGAGCCACCTTCCCAGCCCTAGACTTGGAATTTTTGTTCTGTTTGTAACTTGTTTCTTTCTCTACTGTATGTCTTATAAATTAAAGGTGAATCTAGAAACATAATTAGGTTCATTCTTAGGGTTTTAGATGAGGATACTTCATACTGGTACTCTCTACTTCTTTTCAGTACTATATCAGGAAGCACATAATATCTGATTATTGGACTTCTTGTGGTACTAAGTATAAGTGAGTTCAAGTGGTGACAGCATGTTATAAAGTTTTTCATCTATCTTTTATCTAATGATTTTAGTCTCTTTTCTCTCACAGTGGTAAGTGACAAAATGGCAATTTCTTGGATTCTTTTATTCATGTATTAGCTGGGATTTTTCTTGGGCAAAAACTACTCTTTTTCAGTAGTTTGGTTATCCTGAAATATAGTTTGTACTGGAAAAAACAAATTATTTAACTCTTTGTTTTGATTTCTTAAATTTCAAAATAATAAACTGACCTTTTTGCAACTTCCAATGGTGGTTGATTAATTGCATTTTTGGAGTGTCTATGAACTCATTAACATTTTTCCCCTCTCTCCTTCCCTCCCTTCCTTCCTGGTAGTAGAAAGGTGATATACAGGGCTGGGAATGTGGTGATAGAGTGCCTCCCTAGTGTGCATGAATCCCTGGGTTCGATTCCTCAGTACCACATACACAAAAAAGCTGGAAGTGGCTCTGTGGTTCAAGTGGTAGAGTGCTAGCCCTAGCTAAAGAAGCTCAGGGACAGTGCCCAGGCCCTGAATTCAAGCCCCATGACTAGCAAAAAAGAAAAAAAAAGATATTGTACAGGTGTGGTTACATAAGTCAGGTAATGAGTACATTTCTTTTTGGACAATGTCACCCCTTCCCTAGCTCTTCCCAGTTTTTCCCTTCTGACCCACCCACAAGTTGTATGGTTTATTTTCAACTTAGTGTCTAGTGAGTACCACATTTGTTCACTCTTTGTCCCTCCATTTCTGTCGCCCCTTACTTTCCCAACGACAGATAAATGAACAAACAAGACAAAAAGAAGACAAAGCAAAGTCAACAACAAAGGAAAGAAACCTTTTACTTCTATTTCCTGGGGTTCATTTTGATAAATATTACTTTATATGACCAGAGGCACATAGGCATTGTGCTTTTTGTGTTTCTCCCTTAAGGTCTCCTTGTGCCTAGGGTCCTGTATAATTTTATCATATCCCAGGGTATTTTAGATCTACCTTCCACATATGAGAGAAAACATGCCCTGTGTCTGTCTCTGCTTGGCTTACCTCACTTAACATCATTTGTTGTAGGTCCATTCATTTCCCTGCAGATGGCATAAGATTGTTCTTTCTAATGACTGTAAAATTCCAATGTGTATAGGAATCACATAAATTTTTTATATAATTGATGGATTTAAATCAGCTACAGTTTTATCAAACACATTTATTTTAGTGTCCAGATTGCTTTATCTTAAACCAATGGGAGCGCTTTCAGGTTTTCTTTTGGGAGGGTATCCTTTTTATATCACTTTTACCAGTGTTTGATTGTTTCCTGGTTTCTAGAAAAACTTGTTTTCTAACTCAGGGCTTAGGTGCTGTCCTTGAGTTTCACTGTTCTCAAGGCTAGTGCTCTTCCACTTCAGCCAGAGCACCACTTCTGGCTTTTTTCTGAGTAGTTTATTGGAGTTAAGAGGCGTACAGACTCTTTAAAGCCAGGCCCAGGCTGGCTTTGAACTGTGACCCTCAGATCTCAGCCTCCTGAGTAGCTAGGATTGCAGGCGTGAGCTACCAGCACCCCACACTTTTTTTTCAACATTAAAAATTTTTATTGTACATGTGAATAATAAATGATACAAGGAATACATGGCTAGTTGAACTTATTTTAACTTAAAGGAATGAGCAGAAGGCCTAAAGAGACTCGTAGTATATAAACACAGTATATGACATAGAAAGTAATGTCTT